CCCAAGGCAAATTTAAAAAGTAGGGAAATGAAAAATAACAATGAAACAAAACAAGGACAGAAAGTAAGTAAAAAACTAAAACTGATTTTTTTTAAATTGGCTGAGGGGCTTTAGGTTGCTTAAGGACTGAACTTTTTTTTCACATCAAATAAGATGAAGATGGGCCGTAAAATCAGATTTACTAACAGACAAGTTTTGTATACCACAGTTTACAGCCCAGAAATATAAAGGGCTTTATACAAGGTTTAAAAGGCATAATGACAATAATGAGACAACTAAAATGGTGCTCAGACACATATCACATCCGCTCAAGTTTCATTGTTGTCTGTCAGTACTTTTTGAACACAAACCTGCTAAATAACAGACAAAAAACAAACACACAAACCAACCAACAAACACATTTAGAGGAGTGAAAACAAAACCTCCCTGGCAGAGATAATAAAAAAAGCACATGGAGTGTAATTAAACTGAGTTAGAGAATTGAATAAAATAAAATAATAAGAAATAAAAGTTAAGTAAAAACAGTGCAGTGTAAGAAACAGGTGAGAATGATACAACACTGAGTGAGTGTTTGGTCTATTCTATCTGAATAAAGACAGTTGAGTAGGTGTGAAGATGAGTTTCTTGTCCTGGTGATGAAAAATGATTAATGGTAAAACGAGGGAAACTTTAACGGATCCTTTCAGGTGATGGGGCCTTTGATCAACCCTCATCCATCCATTCACATGGTGATGAGGAACAGCACTGCAATATCACAGGGTGGTTGCAATCTTCCATCTTCCACATCTGGCAAATTTGTTTGTGAACTCCAAGGACATTCATGGTGAGAATATATTCATTTTCTGTGACACGGGCTGAAATCTGCTAAACCTTAGGTCCTCCTCAGCTGCTGCAATATGAGCTGGAGGGCTGGTTCCACAGTGAGACTGCCCACTTCCTCCACCAAGACTCAATGACAAAGTATTGACTGTTCATCCTGGGGAGGAAGTAGGTGAAAGGTTCTGAACATGAGGACGTCTCTCCGCCACCTCCTGGTAAATATACATGTTTCTTTATGAATTCTATCAAAAATAACATGACCCATTATCTGTTGACATCTGCCTCTGGAGACTTTAACATCCAGACATCAAGTCTTGATTATTGATAAGCTGAATGATCAGATAATCCCATTTCATTGATCAATCAATCAATCAATCAATCAATCACAGCCGGCCCACTGTATTAAAAGAGGGCACCTGGTTGCATCTGCCAATAGCAGAGGTCCCTGTGGAATCAGTGCGGGCCCAGTTAATGATTCGCTGGTTATCTCGTACTTAGTACTTGAGCGTGGAGTTTGGAGTCTGCCCTCCTCTGTGATAAAACCTAACAGGAGAAGCTCGGACTTGCTTTGCCTTTCTTTTTTGGCCCTCTGCTGCTACTGACACTGACTCTTCTCCTCTCTGTGTGTGTGCGTCGGTTTTGATCCATCTGGCTGCAGAGAGAGGACACACAATGTTACCTCTTGTTGTGTTCTTGCTTTGTACAGTCGCCTCTGTCTCAGCTTCTGCCAAAGGTGAGTGGATGACTTATTGTGACTTTTTTCTGTGTGCTTATTTACTTGGGATGTTTAGAGGTGAGGGGATCCTTTCAGTAAATCTCTTATAATGAAGCTCCAAAATAATCTACGTCAAAAACAGGTATCGTTCAAAACAGCAGTAACAGTCAAAGAAAATAATGAAACCAAAAAGTTGGCAGGTTGTTTTTGCTTCTTGATATATCTAATTCTGTGTTTGATAGAAGACAAACTGATCCAGATTCATTCATTCATTTATTTGTTGAATTCAGCTCCACGTTCCTCAGAGACTGGTGATGAAATCTAATACTGACACGTCAGTCTGTCTTCCCTCGTGGGCCTAATGTCCTATCAGCCTGTCGTTAATTGTTCAGAGGAGAGATTTTTATCTACACCACACTGTGAACACACCCAGTGATTGAATCGCCTCAGTAGTGCCTCCTGGGAGGGTCTTCCTGAAAAGCAAATGAAAAGAGGATGAGAAATAGAGAAGTGTGTTTAGTGGAGGTCAAATTTAGAAAAATACAAAAGTTAGGAGATTATTTGACCTGATATTATCTGTTGAGATATTGGAGAAAATGATCTGTTTATACTCTATACAGACTTTGTGTACAGAATGCAGTACAGCCTTGTCTCAAGATAATTCAAACTTATAGCTGTTTCCAAATATTTCTTCTACAATTCACAAGGAGAGAGAGGTGCGACAAGACATTTAGCAAGTCATACTTGAGACTTAAGGGAGATAAAGAGAGCCATTAATACATTGAGCAAGGTATCTCCCTTAAGTCTCCGTGTATCTCCCTTAAGTCTCACGTATGACTCGCTAAATGTCTCGTCTCACCTCTTTCTCCTTGTGAATTTTAGGAGAACATGAGAAACATGTCAGACGAAATAGATATTAAAGTGAATTCAAATATGAGGATACAGCTAAGACTAAAATGAAAACATTTTAAGGTGCTGACGTGATATGAAACATTAAAAAATAAAACCTAGTTTAATGAATCTGCACAATCAGACCTTATAATATAACAGCTGAGAGTCCCTCTTCAGATGACTCTGACTTCCTCCGCTCATGTTTCCTCACCATTGTGTGTGTCCTGTGTTTCTTCAGGTGGAGCTGCAGGACCCCGGCTCAACAACGACCAGCTGTACAAATTCAGCTACACCACAGAGGTGCTGGTGGACAAGGCCCGGGGGTCGAGAGAGGGCAGCGTCGGATACAGGATTTCAAGTGATGTGGACGCCAACCTGGTGTGGAGAGATCCGAGCAGCAAGGACAACCAGCTGATCCAACTGACGGTATGAAGAGAGACAACAGGACATCATTATGTTGTGCATTTACTTAACTTTTAATTAAGTGACTTGTAACTGTGAACACAAAGTTGAGTCTGCTCACTCCCCTTTCCTCAGAGTAACTGATAGTTTGTTGAAATGTCTGAAAAAAGCTTTGAATGATGAGGTGAATGAATCTCTGTTGAATAGATCTCAAATGTGAGGCTGGAGCCTTTGTCCCATCGATCTGAGAAGAAGAGCGTCCTCCATGGATCAACAGTCGAAAGTGTTTTGGGGAAAACCAAACTGGCAGCTCTGACAAAACCTTTCATGTTGCATCTTAGAAATGGAAA